CTTTGTCTTCAATGTCAGAGATTCTTTCTTCTGCCTGCTTCATTCTGTTACCGAGGGATTCTATGGTATTTTTCAGACCTTTGAGGGCTGCAACCTTTTGCCTTAGTGTGTCAAAGTTTTTGTTCATTTTATCTTTGAAATCATTGAATTCTTGAGACAGTTTTTGAACAATTTGAAATTCTAATTCCCTCCTTTCCTCCAATCTGTTGATCTTATTTGCTATCCAGACTCTGAACTTGATTTCTGACATCTCAGCCATCTGTTTATGGAGAGGATCTTCAATTGCATCTACCCCATCCTTCCTTGGGGGAGTTGATCTACTCTGGTTGTTCCAGCTACCAGAGTTTTTCCTCTGATTCCACCCCATCCTGAATTTGCAGCATTTGAAGATCATCCCAAAGCCATTCTGCTTGTGGCTGCCACTGGAGAAGATGCTGGTTTCCTCTGGTTGTCCAGAGAGACAGGGCATGTCTGCCCGGAAAAGCCTTAGGAGTGTGAGCCTTATTGTTCCTGCTCTTGCGGCTCTTCACCTTGTGGTACCGCAGCTTCAGTGTGGTTCCTTCTCAAGTGATCGTCCTCTCACTGTTCTTGGGCTGCCGGGCCTGGATTGCCAAAATGTGCAGCTCTATCAGTCCTCAGTCCACCCCACAGGAGTGTCCAGGGAGTGGGGGAGCAATCGGCAGCCGCACAGGGAATGCTCTGGCTCAGTGGATTCGTCCTCTATGTGCATTGCCAGGAAGCCTAGGGAGCAGAGGAGCAACCAGCCATCTGACAGGAAACACGGGGCTTAAGCAATTCTCTGGCTGTAGTCTTGGGACAGGGGCTTAGTCCCACAGGGGTGGGGCAATGTCGCTCTTGGGTCTCCTCTCACTGTCTCTTCAGGCAACAGGGGAAGTGTGAACTGGAAATTCAAAATGGCAGTGAGAACGTTCTTTCTATTTTTCTGGCTGGTGAGAGGATGTTCGGAGTCTCAGCATCATCCCTCCAGGGGAGTAGACCCCACTGTCTCTAGCTTTCACACATAAGGTGAGATAATAGGTCCTCAGTTTATCACTAAACTGTAGGAAACTTATAGGAGAAGATGAAGAGAAAACAAAGGAAAAGCATAACTTTCTTGAGTGAGGGGATGGTCACTTTTCCTTTGGGATGTATTATGTACCTGTAGATTGCTTTCTGGGAGTCACAGCTTGCCTCAGCAGAGGTGTCCTGCAGATATCACTCTTCCCTCGGCTGGGCTCCTAGTCTTCAACTTTATTGGGTGTTTTCTGGACTTTATCCTTCCTGCTGAATGGGAGCTTCTGTCAGAGGCTGGTACCTGCTTGCCCCTCCCCCTGTATACTTTTTAAATATGTTGCCATATTCTATTTGATGGGATTTTATTGAGTATTTTGTATTGATATTCATTAGTGAAATTGGTCTATAGTTCTCTTTTTTGGTTGGGTCCTTTCCTGGTTTTTGTATCAGGGTAATGTTTGCTTTATAGAATGTGTTGGAAATGTTCCTTGGTTCTTGATGTTTTGGAATAGGTTCAGCAGTACAGTTATAAGATTTTTTTTTTTTTTTGAAGAATTGATAGAATTCTCTTCTGAAGCTTTATGGCCAAGGGATTTTTGTTGTTGCTGTTTTTGAGTGCTTTTTTAATTGTTTATTCAATTTTGGTGCTTCATATTTGTCTGGTCAAGAAATCTATTTCCTCCCAGTTAAGTCTAGGAAGGTTGTGTAATTACAGGTATTAATCCATTTCCTCCACATTGTCAGATTTCTGGGCAAAGAGCTTTTTACAGTAATCAGAGATAATGTCTGGTATCTCGGTGCTATCTACTGCTATTCCCCCTTTTTAATTTTTCTTTGAGGTAATTAGAGATCTTATTTTTCTGTTTCTAGTTAATCTGACTGAAGGTTTATTAATTTTGTTTGTTTTTTCCAAGAACCTACTTTTTGTTTCGTTAATTTTCTGAATGATTTATTTGTTTTTAATTTCATTTATTTCTGATTTAATCTTTTGTTTTTTCTTTATTCTGCTAGGTTTGGGATTGGATTGCTCTTCTTTTTCCATTTCCTGGAGGTGATTCATTTGGATGTTGATATGCTCTCTTTTAGGTTTTTTGTTTGTTTGTTTTTGTATCTAATGTGATAAATTTCTCTTTTAGGATTACTTTTGCAGTATCCCACTGATTTGGGTAACTTTTGATTTCATGGTTGTTATATTAGAGGAATCTAATAACTTCTATCTTTTTCAGCTTCCTGCCACATTTGTCATGCAGCATAAGATTATTTAGTTTCCATTCCTTTGTATGAGGATAAAATTTTTTTGTTAGAGTTGAGTTCTACCTATATTCCATTGTTGTCTGAACAAATACAAGGTATAATTTCAATTCTTTTTGTTTTGTTTATGTTTTATTTATTTCCTAGCATATGATCAATTTTGCAGTATAATACATGGGCTAATGAGAAGCATTTATACTTATTAACTTTGGGCTGGTATGTGCTGTATATGTCTATTAAGTCCAGTTGTTCCAGGGATTCCTTTAAGTCTCTTGTGTCTTTGTTAACTTTCTGTTTAAAAAATCTGCCCAGTTATGTTAGTGGGGGTGTTAAAGTCCCTAGCTATTATGGTGTTGTACAATATCATATTGTTCAGACCAATTAGGATTTGTTTCACAAATCTTGGAGCATTTAAGTTGGGGAGATATATATATATATTTTTTTTTACATCAAAATGTCCTCATATTGTATTGGTCCCTTGAGAATTACATAGTGCCTATTGTTGTCCTTTAATTTGTTGCCTTAAATCCACATGTATCTGAAAATAAAATTAAGACCTCTCCTTTCCTCTGATTTCCATGTTCCTAAAATATTGTGTCCAACATTTTATCCTAAGTCTTGTTTTGTTCTCTGTGGTGAGATGTCTTTCCTGAAAACATCATATACTTGGCTTGTGCTTCCAGTCAACCAGCCTGTGCCTCTTCAGTGAGGATCAAGCCATTCCCATTTATTAAGAGAATAGATAAGTATTATAGAGTTCTATTCATCTTATTTTTTGAAGGTCCATTGCTTAGTTTTATCCCTTGGGCAACTGCAGAAGTGAGGTTTTTCTCTTTAGTTTCTGGATGTCTACTTTGCCAGCCATCCATTTTGATGGACAAGCAGAGAAAGAGTCTGAGTATTTCCTTCACAGCTAGTACTGTGGCAAATTTCCTGAATTTTTGCATGTCAGTAAAGATTTGATTTCTCTGTCAAATTTGAAGCTTTGTTCAGAAGAATACAAAATCCAGGGATGAAAATTGTTTTGTTTAAGAAGGTTAAAGGTAGATGATAACCCTCTTCTTGCTTGAAAAATTTCAACTGAAAACTCCACTGTCACCCTGATAGATCTGCTCCTGTAGGTCAATTGATGCTTGTCCTGACTGCTTGCAGAATTTCATTTGTCATTTTGACCATGACCAAGTTCATTTCAGTGTTTTTAGGATATGTTCTCGATGTGTTGAGATGAATCAGAATTCAACATCCATCTAAAAGGAGTCAGTACCTTTGATGATGCCTGGGAAATTTTTGTTTATCATAGCCTCCAGTAGGGTTTCCATTCCTTTGGATAGTTATTCTTTCCCTTCAGGGATACCTATCATTCATATGTTTGAGTGCTTCATAAAGTCTCATCATTATTTTTTTTTTTTGAGAAAGACTATTACTTTATCACCCTTGGTAGAGTGCTATGCCATCACAGCTCATAGCAACCTCCAGCTCCTGGGTTTACGTGATTCACTTGCCTCAGCCTCCCAAGTAGCTGGGACTACAGGCACCCACCACAACACCTGGCTATTTTTTGTTGCAATTTAGCCAGGACTGAGTTTGAACCCATCACCCTCAGTATATGGGGTCAGTGCCCTACCCACTGAGCCACAGGTGTTGTCCTAAGTTCCATAAATATTTAAGCAATTTCTCAGCTTTTTCTCTCAACATTTCTGCATCTTTAAATGCCTAAGGTAGTTTAAAAGCCTTATCTTATAGCTCTGATATTCTTTCTTTTCTGTAATGTAATCTATTATTAATACTTTATGCTGCATATTTAAGTGCCCTAAGTGGGTCCTTCAATTGTTTAACCTCTGATATATCTTTTCTATTTTTATCATGACTTTCATTCATTTCTTGGGTCAATTTTTGGATTTTCTTTCTGTGGTTTTCCACTTTCCTTTCAGTTCCTTTATCATTTTTGCCATCCATATTTCATATTCCATTTCTGTCATTTCCATTATTTCTTTATAGGTGGGATCCTCTGTGGTAGCTGCCTCATGGTCCCTTGGGAGGTTGCTCTGTTCTTGCTTTTCATGTTGCCAGAATTTTTTTGTTGGTTCCTTCTTATGTGTTTTCTTCTTGTTCACATCCTCACCCTGCTTTTTCCTCTCAATTTCATTTCCATAAATTTCCTTTTCTCTGTGCTTAGTTGTTGGAGTAGCCCAGGTACCCACCTTCTATGCTGGTCTTCAACAGCTCCTGAAGTCCTTCTTGGTTCCTGGAGTTCCCTGTTGCTTCACTGTGCTCTTGAAATGATGTCTCCATATGGGGCAATCCAGCCAGAGGCAAAGGTGGCTGGGGTCTACTTTACAAGCAGCTGATACAGTGATGTCTTTAGCCTACCATCTTTGAGCTGACCCCCCATGCCACCTTTATGATACTTCCCAAATCTCTCTCAAGAGAATGAATCATTGCATCTCTGTTACAATTAGTAAAAATAAAATATATTTTCCTATCTAAGTTAATAGATCCTCTGAATTCTAGCTATATATTCCTTTGGGGCCTATAATCCCTGGGTAAAAATACTGTCCTACATTGATGTATAAAGCATAAACAGGCAACACAACCTATCAGAATCATGAGGGAAATGTTGAGACAAGTCCAAATATTACCTGACTGAACTTTACTTACTTCTCAGTTTCCCTAGGGCATTTACTTGTTCATCCAAGGGTACCAGAGCCCTTGACTGAGCTTCCTTTTCCTTGCAGACTCATCAGAGCCACTCAAGACCAAAACTGAGGCATCAACATCCATGAAATCCTCCTTGGAAGGTGATATTTTATAGAGTTTTAAGAAGTAGTACAGATCTAAAATAGTGTCATAGAAGCCAAGAGAGGAGCACCAATGCCTTTGGATGGAGAATGAGAGGTGACTTAATTGCTTAGAAAGAATATAGTAGTAAATAAATAAATAAATGAAAGGTGAACAATTTTAAAGTAGTAAAGAAGTGGAATCATAAATATATACTGTTCTTTATGAAAACTGAAACAAAAGGAAGCAGAAAGTTAGAATATTTCCATTAGAAAAGCAAGAAAAGAGAACACTCTGAATTCTATTTTGCTCTTAGTCTGACTTACTACATGACTTTGGGTATATTATCTTTCCTTTATGGGCTTTCTTTCCATCACTTACTTCTAACTGTAAGAAACTAAGGCACTTTACCTCATAGGATTAGTGGTGGTGAAGTGGCCAGACATTCTGGAAAGCCTAGCATAAATGCCCAGAAAAGAGTCTCAACTTTGGAGCCATCAGGCTGAAAGACACATACATCACAGCCCCCAGGCTGGAAGACAGTTCTCTGACCCTAATTTCCTGTTGCTTGGACAACATCTATAGTGAATGCATCCTGAAACTTTAGCATTGGCATAAATTTGGAAGATCAGTAATGAGCCAGGTTAGAGCAATATCAAGACTTCTATCTTTCCTTCTTGGATCCAATATTTGTAACCTAAACTTCCCACTGTATGCACTGGTGTGCAACATTCAACTTTGTAAACCATTATGTGCTATGTGGCAGGAATGATTAAGGCCACTCACTCCAGGTAGGTAGAATGTGTGGGATGGAAAGGGAGAAATATAGATCCAAGGATGAGTAAAGTCAGAGTGAGATTAAAGGGAGTGTTAAATGTGCTCTTGGCTTGTTCTATATTGCCATAGTAATACACTTCCCAAACTTTCTGAACAAGACCATCATGACCTCAAAGATAGGGCCATCATAACCTCAGATAACTCTCCTTAGAGTGATGGGTGCTGGGCTAGGCACTAACTATGACATTGCTTGAGCTCTTCACCTAGGCCTCTCCAAGAAGCTAGCAGCTGATTCATGATTCCTCTGAGGTCTAAAAGATCCCCAAGTCAGGATCTCAGAGCTCCAACTCCCATATAAATCTTTTGTGCTTAATGTGAAGCTTATAACCAGCTAGTATATAATGATATGATTGCATCAATTGTTAATATAATAAAATATTTCCGTATCAGTTGTTAATTAGCTGTTTCCCTTAATCCCTGAGCTCCACATTATCATCTGGGTTGCTATGGCCCATCCCTCAGAACTATTCAGGTCATTCCACGGTCCTGCCACAAAAGTGTTAATGCTTGATATATCAGGGTATCTCTATGACTCCAGGCATCTGTTGTGCTTGGTTGGTATTATAGTTTGATGAGTACCATTCTTGGTCTCATTCTCTGGCTGTGTATCATTGAAGTGGACTTCTGGATGCCCCTTTTACCTCTTCCTTCCTGGTTGCAGAGCTTCTTGGCTATCTCTGGACACAGCTCAAACATATTTTGTGTGCTATCTTTGCTTTGCCATCTTTGGCTTGAAATCTTTCATAGTTCCATGCCTTTCCAAAGGCATGTTCATTGGGAAAAGAAATATTAAACTATACCTCTTGGAAAGACAGTTTAGGACGATGAGAAGATAACCCTATTAGGAGTTTAAGTTCTCAGATTTGGGGGCTGTTTCCTGTTTCCTTTATCTGGTTTCCCAAAATTTAGCCACCTTAAAGCTATAATCTGTCTTTGATATGCACCAGCTTATAGCTTAGCTCTAACAAGAAGTTCTGTGGACTAAAAATACAAGATTTTTAGGATAGGCCATCTTAGAGTCAAGTAAAAACAAAGCCAATTGAAGCAGAAAACCCTAGAAGCATGGACATTTCTTTCCTTACTTCTTTCTGTCCTTTGACCTAGACCCTTAGGTTCAGAATATTATAACTAAAAGTATACCAAATATCATCAATTTTTTTCATTAGGCTCAGAGGTAAATGAAGGCCTAGTAACAGTAACAAAAAATTAGCTAAGAAAAAAAAATTAGCTAAGGACACAGTATTCATTTTTCTGTGGCTGCTGTAAAAATGTACCACAAAACTAGTAGCTTAAAACAACATAAATATCTTATTCTTCTAGAGATAACAAGTCTTAGCTAAAACCAAGGTGTTAGCAGGGCTATATTCCTTCTGGAAGCTTTGGGAAGAAACCATTATGTTAGTCCTTTTTTTAATTTTTTTTTATTTATTAAATCATAGCTGTGTACATTAATAATGTCATGGGATACAGTGTGCTATTTTTATATACAATTTGAAATATTTTTGTCAAATTGGTTAACATAGCCTTCATATCATATTCTTAGTTATTGTGTTAAGACATTTATATTCTTCCTTTAGAAAGATTCACATGTACCATTATAAGATGCACTATAAGCGTGATCCCACCAATCACCTTCCCTCCACCCATCCTCTCCCCCCTTCCCCTCCCTTTCCCCTTCCTCCATATTCTTGGGCTATAATTGGGTTATAGCTTTCCTATGAAAGGTATAAATTAGTTTCATAGTAGGGGTGAGTACATTGGATACTTTTTCTTCCATTCTTGAGATACTTTGCTAAGAAAAGTATTTTCTAATTCCATCCATGTAAACATGAAGGAGGTAAAGTCTCCATCCTTCTTTAGGGCTTCATAGTATTCCATGGTATACATATACCACAGTTTATTGATCCATTTGTGGTTAGATGGGCACTTGGGCTTCTTCCATGACCTCATTATGTTATTCTTTATAAGTTCTAGAAGGTACTCACATTCCTTGCCTCATGGCTTTCTTCCTCCATTTCCAAAACTAACCATGTGGCATTCTCAAACCTCCCAATGACTCTGACCTCCACTTCTACGTTTCCATTTCACTTTTAAAGGGCCCTTGTGATTACTTTGAGCTCATCCAGATATTTCAGGATGATTTTATCATTTCAACAACAGTTAATTATCAACCTTAATTCTATCTACAATCTTAATTCCTTTTTACTATGCAAACTAGCATATTCACAGGTTACAGGAATTTGGGTATGAACTTCTTTGAAGGATCATTACTCTGCCTACTACAGTCATACAGAAAGTAAATAACTGATACAGGAATGAAAGCCTAATCCAATGGATTCCTTTAGTTGTTAAGGATGATGGGTCTCTGTATGCTAGGTTGCTCAATGGAAATATGTTGTGAGAAAGAAGGAAAAGAACTTGGCCAGAGGATGTGAGGGAAGAATCTCTGTGGGTAGAAGTAACTGACCAGAATCTCAGTAAGATAGCATTTTGGTTACACAGAGAAATCAGAATACTACGTTCTTCTTTGTAAGAGAAGCTGAAAACTTCCTGTCTTGTTTCCATATAAAGCATAGAGCACTAGTGCAAATGCCAAACTCAATCAGCCATCAATCAGAGGGCCAAGAATAACTTGTTTACATGTGATGTCTCTAGCCTTTCTCAAATCTTTCTCATGGGCCTATAGTTGTTTTGTTTTCTTTTGTTTCTCTGGTTACCTAACAAAGTTAGGAGAAGATGAAAAACGGAAAAGAAAGAAGCCTAGACTAGTCTTGGCTGATATTTGGAGTTTCTATTTCTGGCCTTTTTTTCAACCAGATATCATTTGCTTTTCTTTTGCCTTCCAGAAAAGGGGTTGCCTATCTTTGCCATCATACTCGTTATCTCTTTGTGATGTATGGGAATTTTTACCATGGTTTATATTATGCTCTGCCAGAAGACATCACAACAGGATAAGTCATAAATATGGCTGAGTATTATTTGCTTATTCATTGTTTTCTGAAAGTATATTTGAGCCTACTCTCTATATCAGGAACTGTGTTAGGGAGCTACCAGTCTAGTTTTGGAGTGAGAGTAGAGGTTCAGGAAAATAGATCTTCAAGCAAACAATGACATAGATATACGAAAGTAAATGCATGCATTGTTGGTACTCAGCAAAGTATAGTAATCCTTGTAACGAGTTGCCACACAAGGATGCAAGTGAAAGAGAAGTCACAATCCCTAACCTTAATTTGCTTATAATTTATTTAGGAGACTTAAGGAAGAAGCATGGATTTTCTCAATAACAATACATAACAATAAAGTCTATGGACTCAAAACCTGGAGAAGACAATCAATACTAAATGATTCAGGGGACAAGAGACTCAGTTAGGTCTGAAGTAATCAGCAAGGGCTTTCAGAAAGAGGTGAAACTTTTTTTTTTAAGAGATGGGGTATTACTTTGTTGCCCAAGTTGGAGTCCAGTGGTGAAATCATAGCACACTGCAGCATCCAAGTCCTGGGCTCAAGTGATAGTCCTATATCAGCATCCCAAGTATCTAGGATAACAGACACATGCCACCATGGCTGGATATTTTTTTTTTATTATGTACTTTGTAGAGTTGGGTCCCATTATGTTTCCCAGGCTGATCTAAATTTCTGTTCTGAAATGATCCTCCCACAGCCTTCCAAAATGCTAGGATTATAGGAGTATGGGCCTACTATGCACAGCCCTGAGGTGAAAATTAGACTAGAATTTGGAAGATAAAAACAATTTATATGGGGAAAAATGCATGCAAGAAGGGGAAACTACATGAGCAAATATGCAAAAGGCCTAGAAGACCATTGAAAGTGGGAATCATCAGTAAAGAAAATTTATGTAGATAAGCAATGGGGAAATACAGAAGGAAATCTTATTCCTCATACTCCAAGGGCACAATGCCAGGCTAAATAATATAGACTGTCTTCAACAGGCCTTTCAAGGGAACTAAAATTCACCAAAATGTTTTAAGCAGGAAAATAGCATGATGAAGGTGCTGTTGTCAGGGCCATTTGACAGGTATGAACCAACAGAAAAGAGAAAAGAAAATTGGGATGTGATTTTATTTATTTATTTAGTTTTTTGGTGTGGCTGGGTTTGAACCTGCCACCTCTGGCATATGGGGCCAGTGCCCTACTCTTTTGAGCCACAGGTGCCGCCCCATGGGATGTTATTTTTAAAACTAGAAATCCTCATTATTCATCAATGCCCACTGCACTAGTCATTTTGACTGGAATCAGCTTGTCTCATTCCTTGTAATATCTCTTACTCTCAAATAGCCTGGTTTCCACCATGGGTCTCATGGCTTTCCACTGTAAGAAGGGAGCCTTGGTTATCTCCTTCTCCATGGTCTCAAGTATAAGCTCTGGCCTTGGCCAGTTAGCATAGTTATGATTCATGAGGCTAAACTTGAGAGTAGAGATATTTGAAATGGCCACAAATCCTAGAAGCATTGAAAGAAAACCATTTATTATATCGTCTTGATGAAGCTGGTCATAAACAGTAATCAAATTTAGTTGTTTCTTTCTCAAAAACCTTCCATGGTTCCTCATGGCCTGGAGGATAGAGGTCAAAATACAGTGTTCCATTCAGAGACCACTGTGATGTGGTTTTAGTCTATATTCTCAACCCCCACAATTCCCTTATACCTATTTTCATTTCCAGTCACTGGGGTTAAACAAGCAAACAGACTTTGCATATCATACCTTTATTATTTTTTCTGGATTGCCGTCCCAGAATTTCCATGTTCTATTTCGCAAGGATACAGCATTGAGGTATCAATTCAATTTAATATAATTACTGAGTACCTACTGTGTCCCAGGCACTGAGCATATAAAATTTAAAAAAGTTACAATCCTTGTAGTACAGAAAATTTTAGGCCATTGGAGGAGGTAAGACATGGAAATGCAGGGCTCTACCACAAGGCAGAAGGCCCGTAGCTTTCCCTGTTCACTTTTTTGTAGTTTAATGCATGCATCTCCAGCTGCACCCCTGAAAGACTGTGCAAGGTCCTAAAGTAGGGTGACCAGATGTCTCGCTTTTGGCGGGGACAGTCCCGCTTTTCAACAATTTGTCTCGCATCCCGCAGCATTTTTAAAAAGTCCTGATTTTTGGAAAGAATGCACGAATGGGTGGGAGAACAAGAAGGGAATATACGTTTTTCGGCTGTCATGTGGCTATTTCGCCAGAATATAAGTTTTATATTATTTTTGTTAATTTTATAATGTTAAACTGTAATAATAACAAATAATTGCTGAGAAGTGATTATCAAGAACTGCTTATCAAAGTTTGCATTGTTGTCAGGCCCTGCCCTGCCCCGCCCCGTCCCCTGCCCTGCCTCCACCCCCGCCATGTTGTCCCGCCTTCCTGATGTTAAAATCTAAAATCTGGTCGCCCTAGCCTAAAGGGAAGTATCAGGGTACATTCACCTTCTTACGAAACAGTCTTAAGCCTGTATGGAATTAGAACACTTCTCCTCCACAGACACTAGAGGGCAATGGTGACCTATTCCAGGCCCTTATCTAGGTACAAAGTAGGGGTGAGTGCATTTGGGAGTGGCTTGGGCCATGGTCCCTGGTATCAGACTAACCCAGCCTCTTCTTCCTGCTCTCTAGCCTTGAAGTGAAGTTTCCCACAGTGACTCTCTGGGGATCTTTGATGAGATTTCCAGGTGGAGAGCAGGTCTGGTTTCAATGCCCCCTCCATTCCAGCAACTGCTCCAGTTCAATATTCTGAGTCAGAGATGACAAAGAGAGCATTGACCAAGTGTGCTTTCCCTTCCTTTCCTTAATAAATCTGCATCTCTGTACTTCAATTTACCTCCCCAATACCTCCCAGATATTGGAAATCTGAGACATATTGAAATCCCTTTCTCCTTCCCCTTCCTTCATCTTTTGACTGGTATGCAGGGCCCATGGTTGGCCCTTGTCCATGCCCCATGGAAACTTCTGACTTTGTTCCTTCTTCTTTTCTAGAGCGTGTCTATGAAGTTGTCAGGTAAGATAGACTCTACTCTTTCATTTCTTGACCCCTTCCCAACCCTTATTTCTGTTAATAACAGGAAGTGGGTATAGCAAGAACCAATCTTAAGGCTGGAGGCCTTCAGTGTCAATACAATGCTTTCTTCTCTCTCTGGGGTACCTTCTGAAATTTTTTCCTGGCTCATCAAATACACAGTAATTTAAGTCCACTAGCCATCTGCTCCCAGAATCCTTAGGTAACAAGAGTCTGTGAATTAGTTGGCAAGAATTAAGGCAAGAGGGTGGGAAATCAAGGTCCCAAAGCCCTTTCTTATGTGTGGTGGACTCTTGGGCTACAGGGTGCATGCCAGGGAGGCCAGCGACTTTGGAGAAACCATCTTTGCAAATGGTTGCTCCAGCAATGAACCAGCTCCCCAGTCTCTGTGCAACAACTACACTGGTGAGCCCTGCTTGGGCCAGGAATACCAGATCATTGCCCAAATCAATAGTGACTATGGCCACCTGCTGCATACAGTTCCCATGGATGATGAGCTCCTGGTCATGGAGGGCAAGAGTGTCTGCTGAAATTGGACCATCTCTGCTGACATAATTGCTTATTCATTGTCTACTTTCTTTGTGGATGGCTTACTTCCCTGATACGTCACTTCCTGGAGAGCCCAAAGTATCTATCCTGGCAACACTGTGGCCCCTGAGAATGACTGGCTTTGTCTAAAATTTTGTCATATGCATCTCAAGATATCTGGCTACTAACTTGAGCCCCGAGCTCCTCTACTATTTCTGCCTGGAGCTTCAACTACTCATTTTCAAATACCAGAATGGACACGTCCATGGCACTAGGAATTTGTCATCATGACTTTAAGCATTACTCAACTTTGGCTTCTTGTTGCCAGTAGACAAGAGAAAGGATCAGCTCTGCCAGATCAAAGGACCAGCTGTGCCAAGGATCACTTCCCTTCCTTTAGGGACAGACAAATATTACTTAAGATTGTCATATGAAAGAACAGGACTCAGTTTTGATTCTGCACTGTAAATCTGCTCTGGCATTATTTTTGTGCTCAATAAATAAATAATAATGGTAGCAATATCATTCGTGTTGATCTTTTCTCAAAGTGTGGTAGGACCTACCAAAAGTAATTAAAGTGAAGCTAGTCAAGATGATTATGACCCCTGGGAATATGGATGGTACTTTTTTTCCCCCCTTTCCACCCATGTCACCCTGACTTTATTCCACAAGTAGGCCCATCTGGGACACAATGAATGTTTGGTTAAACAGGATTACTCTGGCTTCAATCCTCCTCAGTTTCATCTCAATGACTCTTCCCAGGTCATTGAGAAGCCTGAATTAAAATAGTTCTTGTCTCAAGATTATGGATGCAGAGGTGAAAGGCTTTCCTTCTTTCCAAATTGCAGGTGCACTATTCCTAAGTATTTCCACCTTTTTGAATCTTAAAATCTTTGGAGTATTTGCATTTTTCATTGGTCATCTCCTTTCCTCTTTCTTAAAATATAGGGTGGGAGTAAGGGCAATTAATTCCTTCTCCTCGTGTAGGCATAAATAGGGCTAAAAGTGTGTGTGAGTGTGTGTGTGTGTGTGTGAGTGTGTGAATACATTCATGCATCTTTAAATTGAGCAGCCCTGAAAGGACCTGTTCTGGGGCAGGTCTACCCTGATCCCTTTCTCCCATGTAATTTATGTCAAGTCAACTTCCACACTGTTCATGGAAGCTGCCATGTTGCCACTTCTGCTTCCAGTACAGCCCAAGGTCAGCTCAGGCTTCACCAGGAGTTGCTCCCCTTTTGGAATAATCACAGAAGTCAAAATAGCATACAACAGTGAATGAGGAGGAGTATTCTGTTTCATACCACCCAATCTGCCAAGTCCATGGTAAAAACTTCAGCATTTTTCTTATACCCAGATTCTAGCTTCCCATGGAGGAAGGAATGACTTCTTCTCCATTATGCTCACAAGCCTCTGAAAAAGGGCCTCCACCTCAGTTTACTTCATGAAACATCTCTTTACCATATCCCACAGACTTTGAAAACATCTATTATCTTTTTCTACTACCCTTTTAAAAATGAATTCCTGGGGTTGGGGAGAAAAATCATAGTTTTATTTCCACTGGTAAAAGGACCCACAGGTTCAGGGACCTCACTCCATAGATGCTGTGCACTGCCAATGAGATCTCAGAGTCTTTCAATCTAACATTCCCATATTACACATGAAAGTCCAGAGAGGAGCAATGACAAAGTTGTTGATAGAAAAGAGACCAAAAGGCCTTCAAACTCCTAGAAACACATTATTTATTGCCACAGGAAATTTCTGGAGATCATCTTTGCCCCCAAACAGAGAACTTTTCCACACAAGATAAACCAGTAAGGGATTTCTATTAATAGGGTATCCCAAAGATGCAAGATAAACTAAACAAAAATAGAATGGTAACAGGGAACCTGTCATACGCAGGTGGTTGTGCACAGAAGACAAGAGGAGTGAAAAGAAGGGAAAATCTTTGTTTAAAAAGAAAGATACTAGATATTTCCCAAATTTTGTTCCGTAGAACAATGACCCAGGAAATGGTACATGGAAAAAATTTTCATGATCAGGTAAGCATGGCAAAAGCATCATTATATAGCTTCCTCTTTGAATTTCCTAATGTAACACCAGAATATTAAAGTGTCTGAAAAAAATCTGTAATAAAGTACATGTATAACTCTGTATAACCAAGTAATTCCCAAACTTACTTGCCCTATAAGTGTACATGTTTTCCCTTTTCCTCTAGCCTTTTGTCCCACTTCTCAGGAAGAAAGAAAAAATAAACCTTCCATGGGACAGTGCCTGTGGCTCAAAGGAGTAGGACACCAGCCCCATATACCAGAGGTGGTGGGTTCAAACCCAGCCCTGGCCAAAAATAAATAAAAAAATAAACTGCAAAAAAATTTTAAAATTAAACCTTCCATGCAGGCTAATATTGTAAATGCCCTATAGCATTGTGTTGTCCATAATTTGTTTTTTTTTTTTTTAAAGAAAATCTTAAGTAGCATTTGGCCAAAAGCCTCAGAGCTAATGTACTAGTGGAAAGTCAATCAAACAGTAGACATATATTGAGTATTTCCTGTAACCATAGTACTGGGTTTTGGTAGGGGAGGAAGCAAACAAATAAACATAGTCTTTTAGAAGCTCATAACCTACTGTGGGATACAAGAATATCTCTTGAAAAAGTTTATTAACAATTCAAGAAATGGTTTTGGGCAGTAGGTAATAAAGGGAAACATACCAGGACCTAGACAAGGAGTTCTTTGTGAATGGAAAAGTGTAGGTTGACTTTCAGAAGTCCCTGGAGAGTCTGAACTTTGGCTTGTCCAGGAAATATGAAAAAAAGTTGAATCAGCAGAAAGAAGTGGAGAAGGCATTTCTAGAAGAAAAGACATTAGGAAAAGGAATGAGGTAGGCAAAGCCAAGGTGTATTTAGAAGCCAAGATGAAGTATCAAAAAAGTGGTTTCTAAGTCCTTCCATCTCACATGAGTCAGCTATTATGCTTGTATGAAAATTTTGGTATTCTAGCTGAGAAGGCTCTGAAAGGAGAATGTGAAGGAAGAAAAGAATGATAAATAAATAAAAAGTCCACTTCTATCCACCCTGAGCCCCTTACACCTTCTCAAGATGATTAGGCCTCCCTTAGCATTTAAATGATATGTGTAGACTTAGAGCAGAGCTGTAGTTCTGAGAGCTGTCTCACTTTTGCCCTGGCACCCTCAGATTTAATGCTTCAGTTGTCTCAAACTCACAGAATATAACTTGTGAGAACTTAATGTCTGACAAGCATTCTTGTATCCAGCCAGCAGTCCATTTGTTGTATCTCATCTTCCCTGGCCTGTAGTTGTTCAGCATATGCCGCACTTGGGGTATTTGACAAACTGACACTCTATTAAACTGAGTGTTCCACTCAGCCTGTCAAATACACAGAGTGTGGCACTGCAGGAGGCCAAACCAGGGGCTTCTGTGGGGAGATGAAATCTTCCTGAGAGATGTAATCCTGGAAGAAAAGAGAAAGAAAGAAGTAATGAAATAATGTTCTGAACCTCAGGGAACCTGCAGAGGTTGAAGAGATCAATAAAAGCACTAGAACAAGGAAGTGAGCAAAATAAGCATATGGTCCCTAACCAGAAGAGAGATTCTAAAGGTAAGTAGGGAAAGCCTGACTGAGACTCATATGCGGAACTAGTTCAAACTGGAAGCTCCTAAGGCCTAGGCTGCAGGCAGAATGGGGACTGAAGACCCCATTCTTGGCAGGGGAAAGCATCTTTGGAAAAAGGGAAAATTAAAAATAAGCTGAGGAGTTGGAAGAAAGAAAAGTCAGTTATTTTACCTTTAAGATAGCCATTGGTAAATTTCTTATCTGAGCAAATTTCCTGACTTTCTTGTAACTCTGGCCTATTGGGAATACAGTTTATAAATACCCCTGCTAGGTCTATGAAAACTCTGAGGAAAAAACAATGGCTGTAGAAGAGGCTATGGCAAGACCTATAAAGATACATAAACTAGGTCATTTCCTGCTCAGTAAACAAAGCAGATACTCATTGTGGAGATTTGCATTTGGCTGAGGCAGAGATCAAGGGAACTGCTTGAGCCCTGTGATATGGGCAGGAGGGCATATATCTCTTATCACAGAGGAAGACCCTCTGTGATGGTGATGAGAGGAAAATTCCTCTGTCCCACTGATTCCTCAGAAGAGATTGACAGCAGTGGTGTTTTACTCCACAAAGAAGTAGCAGAATTTAACACTTCCCAAGGAATCTTTGTGTGTTTGACTTCAGACAGGAAGCTGCCCCCACACAAGGCTTCAGTTTCACATTTCTCAAGGCTGCCCCACTCTTAAAGTTAATAATAATAGAAACAATAGGAGCTGATATGCTTACTCAGAGAAACTGCTGATGTCTTTGTTCCCTCCCTCAGCTTACCCTCTGGGCAAAAGATTTCAATAAAAGCAGAGTGTAACAGACACTCAGAGCCATCACCAGAACCCCACAAATGGGATGTGGTCCCCTGAATTCTCACCTTTGAAAATTCTATTCTGTGTCTCTTATCTCTTTCTTTATCATTTTTTCTTACTTTCTATTTCTTCAGTCCGTTGTCTCCAGTTTCACAGGTCTTATCAGACCCTGCCACCGGGGTGGGGCCCTAACACTAAGCCCAAAAGCTATGGGTATTTCCAAAGATCTCAAGCTTCAGTGATTTCCTCTGTGCAGCAGAGAAAGGGCCATTTGATCATCATCCTGCCTACCTGACTTCCCTTGCTCTCTCTTGTTCCCAACTCCCCCAAGCTGTATTCTCACAAAGTTTTGGTGATGCACATAGGCTTTGAGGTTAAAAATGGGCTTGAATCCTAGCTGTGCTATTAACTAGTTGTACAAACTTGGATGAATCATTTTATCTATCTGAGCTCCAAGTTTTTCACATCCACATAATGTGTAAAAGCATAGTATTTACCTCATAAGATTATTGTGAGAATGACATGAGGTAGTGCAGTAAAGCTCTCAGTTCAGCATCTGATACATACAAAATACT